TCATCATCCCCACCACCTCAGAGGCACCAAGCCCCTTCTAAGGAGCGCTGGTATTCCCTCCCTGCCTTGGCTCTGCCTGGCCCCCAAACACACCAGCCACTCCTCACCCCCGTGGCTCCTCTGTGAACATCCTTGGGCCTTCCTAGCTGCTGCTGCTGGTTTCCATTTAGCAGCTCGGAGACCTCCACATGCCCTAAACCCCACATCATTTGGGAGCCTTGGTCCTCCTCCTCCTCCTTCTTCTTTTTTTTGTCCACTGTACTTTATCTACTCTTACAGACCTCAAGACCACCCTTACACTGACCGTTCTGATTGTCCATGTAGCCCGGGTGCCCTCAGTCCTGCTTAGCCCAAACAGAGCTTCTTCTCCCCGCAGGCAGCCTTCAGGCTCTCGTTTCCCTTACTTTCTGTCCATACCAATAGTAATTCCCACTGGACTTCCAGGCTCAGAGCCAGGATCAGACAAAGTGAACAGAGGGTCAGAAGGAGGTGGGCCTGCTCCCAGCCTGGACAGCCCTCATCCCTCCCATAAGCCTTTAGCCCGTTCTCCACCGGAAGTGGGGCACAACCTTCAGACTTCTCCAGTGGTCAGGACTGCCTTTCTTATATTTAGCATTGGCTCTGATGAGCCTTCATAGTGGTCTACCTGAGCTAGTCCTGCCCACCATGACTTCTGCTGAGCAGGGTTTGGCCATCTTATGGCTTTGTGACCCCAAGAGCCGATACGCCTTGTCCCTTAATTTCTCTTTCTCTACTGCCCGAGGCCTGATTCACATTCACCTTCTGCCTAGAACTTATCATATCTACACTGCAACCAAAGATTCACAGTGTGGAACAACCCCAAAATCAGAGGGCAGATGTCATGACCTCCTACCCTTATTTTGAAAGATTCTTGCTCTTGGATTTCATCATGGAAGACTCAAGGGCTACAGGAGAGAGGCCAGACCATGATAAGGGGCAAGGGAACTTAGGGGTAGGCAGCCTTTATGCTAGCTAGAATCATACCTCAGATCAAGAGAGGGGTGAGACTCTGCCCAACTGTCCACCAGGAATTAGGAACTGCTTCCTCTCCCTGTGAGTCAGCGCTGAGATCTCAAAGGCCAAGTGCACAGGGAAGCAGACGACCACGGATTTCTGAAGGGGAGGCCAGTGGCAGAGCTGGCATTTCCCTTTGTACAAAGTCAGTGCTGCCTTCTCTTCCTAGACACATGCTCTCCTTCCCACCAAAGCCTCATCTCTTATGTCCTTAGTCCCTAGCCAGTTCACCTATCCTGGTGGCCCTATTCAATTATCTGATCCTCAGGGACAGGGAACATTTGTACAGATCCAGCCATACTGTAGGGATAGGTGATAGACACTTCCCCTAATAATGAATCTTACCTATACCTCTGTATCTCTGTCTTCATCTATGGAGAACAGGTGACAAGAACCATTCCCACGGTTCTCCAGGCTGAGAGTATGGGTCCCCATGTAGGGACCTTGTAGGGAACTTGCCCAAATATCTGCATCCATTGTTACTAAGACAGAGGCCCAAGAATCAAGTGGTTTCCATCTCCTTCATTCCTCATCTCAACTCCTGCCCACTGGCAGATGGAGAATTCGCCCCAGCAAGTTTGACGTTACCATTTCCTGAACCTAAGGGAAGTGACTTGCTCAAGGCCACACGGGTCTGTGCCCAGGCAGGGCCCTACACTACTTCCTGGTCCAGATCCCTGAGCTACTGTGGCCCCAAGAAGGCCTAGAGTCCTAAAGCAGACAACTTTCTCCCTCCTTCCCTCCTTACCTCTTTTCCTCCCTCCCTCCTTCTTTCCCTCCCTCTCTCCCTTCCTCCTTCTCTCCCTCCTTCCCTCTCCCCCACCCCCCTCTGTGTGTGTGTGTGTGTGTTGGTGGTAGGTGCCATGAGGAGGTTGGCCTGTGGCCACAAGTCAAAGGAAAGACTCCCAAGTTGTGGATGGTCAGGACCAGGAGTCCTTGGCACTCTGGTCCTGCTTTCATCCCAGGGCATTGTGCTAGGAGCTGCCCAGCTACCAGGTTAGCTGCTCTCTCAGGGATCAGTAAGCATCCACCAAATCAGCCCGTGCATCCCAGATTTCTGCCCAACTCTACCCTTCCAGCATTCCTGCTCTTCCTTATTCATTCCACCTTGGAATCCATGCACTTGCCACTCAGAGATGTGCTGGCATCTGCACCGGGGTGGTGAGGTACTGATGCCAGCTGGTCTTCTGAGAGGACAGTTGACCTCTGTCCATAACTGGACAGAGGCTTGGGGCTGTGCACAAGGGCATAGGCAGGGTGGAGCTGCAGCTGCACCACTCACTATGGTATAGAGCAGTATCCCTTACCCTTAGTATTTCCTCTGCATTTGTATCGAGGATCACCACAGAGCGGCCACTGGGGCCCAGCACGGGACCAGAAAAAGCGGTCTATCGTGGGATACATGCTGGCTCCCCAGAAGACAGTCCTGGACACAGCTCTCAAACGTGGCCTTATTTGGAAACAAGGTCACTGAAGATGCGATTGGTTAAGATGGGTGACACTGTCCTGAGTGACATCCCGATCCAATGTGACTGTCATCCTAAGCAGAGTGGTGTGTGAAGAAAGCCACATGACCACTGGTGCACCTGCAGTCAGGGAGGCCAAGGGTGGCTGCCACCAGTAGCAGCTAAAGGACATTAAGGAGGAGCTTCCCTTTGAGCCTCTGGTGTGGGCCCCTGGCAGCACCCTGGTTTCCCCAGATTGGCGAGAGGTAAGTTTAGTATCTTTTCATATGCCAATTGGTCTGTCTTTCACACACCTGATTGTCCTCCAGGGAAGTGGGGGGGATGTCATATCCTTAGCCATCTAGTGATGCTAAGAACAGGGTTTGGGGGGGTTATGCAAGAGGGCTCAGGGGTGGACCTCCTTCAGCCTGGAGCTTTCTGCCTTGAAGGAAATGCTGAAGGATTGGGATGTGACTATCTGGGAGGCTGCAGGGTGTGATAATGTGAGCCAACACCCTCGGGTGTTATTGGAAGGAATCTTGGGATGTAAGGGATGTCTGAGACACTACCACAGCAGTAGTCACCGTGACACCTTGGTTACCCAAACACAGTCCCAAGTCCGTTTCCCTATGATGTGGTGATTCTGCTCTGGCTACCGTACTAAATGCCGAGGATTGGGGCTCCACACAGGCACACTCCTTTCTCTCATTTCTGGAGATGAATGGCTGAGGTCAGGAAGCCAGCAGGGCTGGTTTCTTCTGGCCTCTCTCTTCAGCCCGCAGACAGCTCCTTCTTCCTATGTCCTCACTTGGCCTTTCAGTGAGCTCCTGTGTCTCTTTCTCTTCTTATAAGGGGTGCCTGTCCTGTGGGACTAGGGTCCCACCCCGATGACCTCATTTATCAATAATTATCTCCTTAAAGCCTTAACTTCCAAATATAGTTGCGTTGAGGAATAGGAATTTAAAATATGGATTCTGGGGGAACCCACTTCCATCCATTACACACGGCGTTTACAAACCCTCGCTTTACAGATAAGAGAACCAAGGCTTGGGGAATTTAGATGCCGCATGTTCTGGATCCCTTGTGGTAGTCTAGCCCTACTCTGAGAACTCAGCTTAGGCTGGGTCCTCCCAGCCTTCTCTGGCCATTTTCATGTATACAGGGGCCCAGTTTCCCCTGTCACCTTGGGAAGCTCCCAGGAATATGACTGGGTAAGGCAGAAACAAGGGTGTGAGCATATTTGTGGATACATCTGGCTTGGGTCTGCCTCTTGGGCCCCACAGCTAGGGCAGGGGCTCTGAATTAGGTAGCAAAGAGTTGACAGCTGGTCCTTCATCACATTCTAATAGAACAAAAGTCCCTTAGGGGTCCAAGAGATTCAGATGTGGCTGAGGAGTCAGAAGCAGAAGGGCAAAGGGCAGGCAAGCTGTCTGGGGGAGGGTTCAGGTCAAGCATCAAGTGTATGCTATCAAGAAGTGGGGCCAGCGAGTATAAGGAAAAGACTGGCGGGGTGGAGGAAGACTACAGAATGTAGGGCAGGAAAGTAGGAACGACACTAGACCTCAGGGGAGTCCCTGACGATCCCCATCCCCTAGGAATTGTGCTGATTGAGATGTGTGAGTCAATGATGGCTTCCGCCCCAGAGCCCGACCACAGTTTACCTCTGAAGGAAAAAGAGATCAGAGTACCATCCCTTTTATTACTTATTTATTTTGTGTGACTGTGTGAATGCACACCACAACCTGTGGAGGTCAGAGAAAAACTCACGGACTGGCGCTCTCTCCTTCCACTACGTAGGTCCCAGAGAGCAACTCTGGTCATCAGGCTCGCCCATCCATTGAGCTATCTCCTTGGCCCTCAGATAACCCGAGTATTTAAATGACTAGGTAAGAGAGAAACAGAGGCGAGCCTGATGTGGGGCTCATGCAGGCCCTTCCCAGTAATCTGCCTCACTCTATTCAACTCTTCTTAGTCAAACCGGCGAAGCTCCATGAAAGCGGGATTCCTGCAGAAACGTTCACCTTTTGATGCCTGTGGTATCAGGGCAAATCCTGGGGAGGACTCCATGTGCCCCCTCCTCACTCAGGGCTCTGAGGTAGGTCCAACCCCTTCACTTAGCACCCCTCTGCCTGGCGATCGGCCCCAGGTACAGCCTCCCTCCACCCTTGACATATAGTCCCAAGTGCTGTCTACACCAACGCAATGCAGGAAAGATCTGCAGCCACGGGATAACTCCCTACGTCGGATTCGCAGGCTCTCTCTCCACCTGAGCTCCCAGTCCCTCCGCCTGCGGCGCCTCCTGTGTAAGATGAAGTTAGCACCCTGGGAACCCTCAGGCCACCCGGGGGTGGGGAACACAGAGCGCCACAGGTGCGGGGCCCTTGCTCACTGGCTTTTGCTCTACGCAAAGAGTGCCACAGGTCGCCAAACCCCATTCGTCTCTCTCCCTTCAATACCAGCGTGGACCATGCGGGGGTCGGAACTATGTGTTGGGGTTCCTGTTTCTGCACGGAGGGACCGGAGCGCCGCTCAGAGTGCACCCGGACCCAGGCCGCGGACTCCAGTCGCTATGGTAACGTGGCCCGCGCTGTAGGTGAGGCGGGCGAGTGCTGGAGCTCGGAATGCAGGAGACCCCAGAGCGGACTAGAGCGGTTCTTGGGCGCGCGCAGGGAGGCAAAGCGGACTTCGCTGGGTCCTGCCAGGTGGCGCACGCGGTGAGTGGCATGGCTGTCCCATCAGGTTCCGGCTCTCCAAAGGCCACGGGCGACCATGGAGGGGCGGCGGCCGGTAGCAGCACTGGGTGCAGGGTTCACTCAAATTAGCACTAACCGCAGAGTTTTCAATGCTCTGCAGCCTGGAACAGCGCCTCAGTCCCTCTTTGACTTCCTAAGTCCGTTACTTTGTAGATTGCATCTCATCCCGGGCTGGCCTGATATTTAACATGATTCGAGTTGCTAGTTTTTAGCATTCTGCCCTCGTGCCTACCAGAAGACAGAGGTAGGTGTCTGTCAAATGGCTGTCAGAAAGTTACTATTTTTCTGCTGGGCATTGTGGCCCATGCCTTTAATCCCAGCATTTGGGACACAGAGGCAGGCAGATCTCTGAGTTCTAAGCCAGTCTGGTCTGCATAGTTCCAGGACAGCCATGCTAAGTAAAAACCCTGTCTCAAAAAAACCTAACTAAAATAAAGTTAGGTTACTATTTTACCGTTGTAAGTAATAAATACCTTTTGGGGAGGGCGCTTGACTGTGTAAAAACCATATTTTCAGTTACTAATTTTAACATACATCAGTGAAAACTTCATGATTTTTTTCATTTAATTTTACATTTTATTCTTTCGTTTGTTTGTTTGGTTGGTTTCTCTGTGTAGCTTTGGCTGCCCTGAAAGTCACTCTGCAGACCAGGCTGGGCTCGAACTCACAGATCTGCTTGCCTCTGCTTCCTGGGTCCTGGTTTTAAAGGAGTGCACCACCACCATCCAGCCATTCTGCTTCCTGGGTCCTGGTTTTAAAGGAGTGCACCACCACCATCCAGCCATGCTTTATTCTTGCTATGTTGGGTGGAGAAAAAGAATCACAAAGTTATTCCGAATCAAACCATTCAGACCTTTCAGCCTAAACTGGGATCCAGTTTCCAAAGGTCTTTATTTAGAACCAGGATCAGAGTAGGTTTCAACCATTGCTCTGGCATCTGCGCCTCTCCCAGATGTATTCTCCAGGGCTCCTGTCTGGGTACAGGCCAGTCCTCCATGAAGGTATCAGGTGAAGGAGACTCAGCAGCTCCAAGGGATTGGGGATGGCACAGGCCTGGGGCTTGTCATGAAGAGATGGAGATCATTGATGTCCCCACAGGTCAGACCTCAAAGGTCACTGTCCTTCCACCTACATCCCGGATTCCTTTATGAAACTCCTCCAGGAGCATCAGGCAGGAATTTACTCTTTGGCTTCAGGGATAGTCCAATATAAGCCCATTGTCTTAGTCACTGTTCTGTTGCGGTGAAGAGACACCAACCATGACCAAAGCAACTCTTATAAAAGAAAGCATGTAAGGGAAAAGGGCCACCCTGAGCAGAGCCAAAAGGAAACACACTTTGGCCCTGCAACTACAACCAAAGAAATGCACCCTGAGGCCTGAAACCAGTGTCAAAGAAACACACTTTGTCCCTAGAATCTGAGCCAGTGAAAGAAATACACCCTAGTCCTAAATTTAGAGCCAAAAGGCTAACAAGGACCAGTGAAAGAAACACACTTTAGCCCTGAAACCAGAGCCAAATCTGACCCTGACCCTGAGCAGAAAAGCAACCAACCCCTGAGCACTTAGTGTGACCCAAAGCCCCTGGTAGATACTGCCTAGTCCATTACAGAGCACCTGCCCCCAGACCCTGTTGTAGGTGACTTGAAACTTATGGGAAGGCCTGCCACAAAGCTGTGCCCATTGTCCAATGGAACGCCCATTATTTCCTGTGAAATGAACTCTTGTTTCTTTAGTCCTGATGATTTGGACTATAATTTAAATTTTTATATATTTATTTTTATGTCTGTGTGTGTGCTTGTGGAACCGGGGGCCTGTGGACTCCAGAGGAAGGCATCAGAGCCCCTGCCTGGAACTGGAGTTACAGATGCTTGTGAGCTGCCATGTGGGTGCTGGGAAAGGAACCAGGATCTCTGCAAGAGCATCCACTGAGCCATCTCTTCAGCCCGACTATAACTAATTTTTGTTATCAGTAATTTCATGAATGAACTTTTCTAAATAGTATTCTTGCTTGTACAACTCTGAAGTTGATATAAACACATGAAACAACACACCCTAACACACGTGAACTCACCTACATTTCATCACACACAACACACACACACACCTTGCTATAATATAATTACATATCACACACACATACTCATACACTACAGACAACACATAGCATGCCACACCCTCCGCACATACACTGTGGCCTCCCCTTCAGGCACACACAGAGCATAACACAAAAGCAAACCCCTGTGGCCCTCCTGGCCCTGTTACTGAGCTTTATGTCTGTGCTTGCTTGCTCACTGTTGGCTTGAGTAGAGGTGAGGCAACATCATTGTCACTGTGGGCTCTCTTTCAATGTGTTGGCTTCTTCTTTGTAAATATACATAGGGCGAGTGATTCGAGGTGTCCGGGGACAGTGTGTTTCTTCTTTCTAAAGAAGACCGACTCGCAGAGAGTCAGACCCCCGCCTTCTTTGGGGTAACTGCCGGATGCCTCCGTGTAGGAGGATGACAGGCAGACATCATCACCTCAAAAAGGTGACAAGAGCTTCTGTGCCTCCCCTTGGGCGCGCACACACACACAGCACTGTCGGCCTTATGTGCCTCCCTGGGAGAAGCCCCAAGATAAATGGCTTTGTGTACAGAGAGGAACCCCTTCCTGGCTCTTCCAGTGGGCTTGTGGCCACTGTGGTCTCCGCCCTGTGGGGCCAGTCCCTAAGCCCCCAGTAAGAGGTTTTTAAAGACTTACTAGAGATTTGAAAAAGTAGTTTTATAATGTTATAATATTTTTTAAAGATTTAAGACTTTATCCAGGTACAGTGGCAAATACTTATTACCCCTGATATTCAGGATGCTAAATCAGAGGATTGGGAGTTCAAGGCCAGCCTGGGCAACTTAGCAAGACTCCATCTCAAAAAACATTGGAATAGTAAATTGTATTTTGTTTTCATTCATTTATTTATTTATTTATTTTGAGACCGGGTTTCTCCATTTAGCTTTGGAGCCTGTCCTGGAACTAACTCTTGTAGACCAGACTGATTTGAACTCACAGAGATCGCCTGCCTCTGCCTCGAAAGTGCTGGAATTAAAGGTGTGCGCCACCACTGCCCGGTTCTAATTTTTATAACCTTTATCTCTTATTTCTGTTATTTACAGAAGTATCAGTCCATGATAGCTTGGAAATAAAAGAAAAAAGGAAGTTATCGTGAGGTAAATCTTCCAGAAGGCTGAGTCCTGGCTACAGGGTAGACTGGTGGAAAGAAGCAGGTGCCGGCTTCAGTCCTAGTTTGGCTACTTAGCTGCCTCGATTTTCTAACATGCAAATGGAGTAAGAGCCACACGAAGCTGTTTGAAAGAACATAGCTCTTGGAGATGTCCAAATCGTGATTCTCATCTTCCCTTCCTCTGCTGTCCCTGGATTTACAGGCCCCGGTTCTCCTGCTGTAGAATGAGGTTCACCTAACGAGGGTGAACCCTGGAGATCTTGGGCTTGGGGCTGCCCCTTGGCTCTGAGCCTCCCTGACTTCAGGGCGACCGTGTGTGCGAGGCCTGAGGTGGGCACCGGGGAAGGAAGTATGGAGTCCCTAGCGGTGTGCTACTTGTTGCCTTCTCTTCATTGCAGCTGCCACCATGCTGCCACCGTGCTCAGAGCGGGAACTGGGTGAGCTGCTGGCTCGAAAGGAGGAGGAATGGCGAGCCCTGCAGGCGCACCATGCCCATCTGCAAGAGACAGCTCTACAGACCACTCGGAAACATCTGGAGGAGACACAAGGGAAGCTGAGGCGCTTGCAGGAGGACTTTGTCTACAACCTTCAGGTGCTGGAGGAGCGGGACCGTGAGCTGGAGCGCTATGATGCTGAATTCACCCAAGCCCGTAGGCGGGAGGAGGCCCAGCAAGCAGAGGTCAGTGAGCTCAAGATAGAGGTGGCCAAGCTGAAGCAGGCACTCACCAGAGAGGCCAGGCGCGTGGAAGAGTTGCAGCATCAGCACCAGCTAAGGTTGCAAGAGCATCACTTGGAGCTGGAGCGTGTCCACAGGTGAGCATCACAGATATCAAGGTCCGGGATCCTTCTAACAGGCTGGGAGTCACCCACTTCAACTGTATCCCTGGGCTTATTCAGTAAAATGAAATGTCCCTGTGATCCATGAAGCAGTTTTCCAGGCTTATGTGTGGAACAAATGAGATACTTGGAATATAATTTTTGAGCTACTATTTTAAAAATAGTTTACCCCTACAGATTATTTTTTCTAGTGCCCAGTGAGTGATGCATATGTTTCACTGGGCTCTTAGTGATATTATGATCTTTTCTTTAGCTCTCAGCCCAAGATTTCTTTGTTTTGGTTTGGTTTGGTTAGTTTTGGTTTGGTTTTAGTTTTTCGAGACACGGTTTCTCTGTATTGCTTTGGAGCCTGTCCTGGAACTCACTCTGCAGACCAGGCTGGCCTCAAACTCACAGAGATCCGCCTGCCTCTGCCTCCCGAGTGCTGGGACTAAAGGCATGTGCCACCGATGACCGACTGATTTTTTGTTTGTTTGTTTGTTTTTTTAGACAAGATCTCACTGTATAGTCCTGGCTGTCCTGGAACTCACTCTGTAGACCAGGCTGGCCACAAACTCACAGAGCTCCTCCTGCCTCTGCCTCCAGGGTGCTGGGATTGAAGGTGTGCGCCACTACCACCCCAGCATGTCAGATGTTATCTGCTGACATTCTTAGCTTTAGAGTTGGGTGGGAGCTACTGGTCTGCAGAGCTTTAGCAATAAATTCCACAAGTTTCACCCAGTGTTCCCAGAGTTGTTGTGTCAGACATAGAGGTCTGTAGTAAATGTCCTGCAGCACCTTTGATCCACAACCAGGAAGTGCTGGTCAGCACTGGATCTGGAGTACGTCACAGAGATCTGCTCACAGCTTAAAGCTGCTCTGTCGTTTTGTGACTCTTTCGCCTTTTCCCTTTCTGTCCAAACCTGAGACCTTTCAGCCGTGTGCAGGTCCTTTGTCAGTCCCTGCTCTTTTCTCCTGTCCTGAAACCCCAAGGGCATAATAAATATCAGTTGCCCTCAGGACACTCCATCTGTTATAGTTCATTTTCTCTCTGTTCAATCATATAATGTCTAATGTCTGTATCAAGTTCACAAGTTCCCCCCTTTGTGAAATTATTGTGATGTCATGCCCAGAATGTGAGCCTTTTCTTTAGGTTATTGCATTTTAAAAATCTTTTTTGTTGTTGTTGTTGTTTTGAGATAGGGCCTCAATCTGTAGATCAGGCTGACCATGAACTTACAAAGATCTGCCTGCCTCTGCCTTCCAGGTGCTGGGATCCTGATTAAAGGCACTGGGGGTGGTGACGAGTAGTTATTGTACTTTTTAGTTATCAAGTTTCTGTTGATTGTTTCTTGTATATTTCTTTGCTGAGAGTTTTCTTTTTTTAATTTGTTTTTCTAAATGTTGGCCTTGTTTGATGATGAGCTCTCTCTCCCCTTCCCCCCAGGGTCACCCTATGAAGTCCCTGGCTGTCCTGGAATTCACTATGTAGACCAGGTTGGCCTTGAACTCAGAGATCTGCCTGATGCTTCCTCCTGAGTGCTGGGACTAAAGGTGTGCATCACCATACCTGGCCCCTTTCCTGGTTCTTGTTAGTCCATCAATCTGGGGTTCTATGTTGTGTTCCCTCCTGCACAGCTGGTCACTCTGCTTAGGGGTAGCAGGCAGGTTCAGGGCAAGCAGAAGTTCTCCTTCTTGGAGGCCTGTTATACAGACCCCTGCAAAAGTCATGTACCAACTCCCTGCAGTGTGTACATTCAGTGTATACGTATGTATACATGTGCGCACTCAGTGAGGCTGCCTGTCTAATTGCACAGCGACAAGAAGAATGAAATAGACCGCCAGCAGGAGCAGTATGAGAACCTCAAGTGGGAGCTGGAGAGAAAACTGAGGCAACTCGATGGCGAACTTGCTCTTCAAAGACAGGTAGAGCTTCACTGGGGGTTGGTTCTTCCTTAGGGGCATTGCCAGCTAGTTTGAAATGTAGATGGTGAGGGGTGTATTTTCCCAGGAGAAGTGGAATCATTGGACTGCCACTCTGGGGTGTGTTGGATACTGTGAGACATGTGTGTCTAAATCTTCCCAGGAAGTCATGGCCAGCCAGGAGTCTCCAGGGGAAGGGAGATGTGTAAACACACAGAAGCACCTCTACTGTGTGAATTGACCTTTGAGGTCTCCAAGGCCACCCCACAATCCACCGTGTAGGCTGGAGAACCTGGAACTTGGTTATATCTGAACCCAAAGGCCCAAGGCACTGGAGCCCCACCCTGTAAGGGCAGGAGAAGATGAAGTCAGGACTCAGGCAGACAGGGAAGAGCATTCTTGTTCTTTCGGGTTCATCAGATTGGCTGACAGCACCCGCACTGGGAGACTGAGTCCTCTCACTCAGTCCTCTGATTCAGATGTTCACCTTGTTTGGAAAATTGTTCAGGAATAATTGTTTACCAACCAGCCAGAAGCTTTTAGGCCAGCAAAGTTGACCCATAAAGCTAACCATCACAAATCTCCCTTGTCAGCCTAGTCCCATTGCCTGTCTCCCCATTACTATAAAGCACATTTAACTTCCAAGTAAAGACATTAAGAAGGTTGTCCTTCCACTGAACGTGGGACAACAGTTATGAATATAACAACAAATTCACTATTCTTTCCAAGTATGGAAGGAAACAAATGTTTATCTGTTTTCAAGATAAGGCTTTGCAGTCAAGTGAGAGGGAGAGGCAGGCAGATCTGTGAGTTTGAGGCCAGCCTGGTCTATAGGGCCACACAAAGAAACCCAATCTCAAGAAAAAGAAAGAGGGGGAGAGAGAGAAGCCTTTCTCTATAGTTCATCCTTGCCTCAAACTTACAATTCTAATTCTTCCTCAACCTTCCCAATTGCCTGCACCACCTTGTCCAGCTAAAATTTTAATTAATGCTCATTCTTCTGATATCCATAACTTTAGTGCTTTAATCTAGATTTGGTAATACATAGTCAATCAGTATTATGTTACATGAAAAAAACAAGAGTAGAAGAAAAAAGAAAAATAAGATGCTTGCATCATACATGTATGTATATATGCACACACATATTTTTGTTTTGTCTTTTGAGAGACAGAGTTTCTTTGTGTAGCTTTGTAGACCAGGCACTCTGTAGACCAGGCTGGCCTTGTACTCCCAGAGATCCACCTGCCTCTGCATCCTGAGCACTGGGACTAAAGGTGTGCGCCACCACCGCCAACACCACCTGGCTTGCAACTAATGCTCTTACTCACTAAGCCTTCTCTGAAGGTCAGGGTGACTTCTTTCAACACTTCTGTTAATTCAGAAAACAAAGGGCAAATTAGGAAACTGGATGCAACATTTGAAAAACTCAAAAAATTTTTCAGTTAAATTGTTAGAAAACCTTAAAGATAGCTTACTTTAAGAGAGAGAGAGAGAGAGAGAGAGAGAGAGAGAGAGAGAGAGAGAGAGAGAGAGGGAGAGAGAGGGAATTTTTATATAGACCCTAACAGCTGCTGCCACTGCAGAGATTTCCATCTCATCCTCCAGGTGAGAAAGGGCCTGCTAGAGGCAGTGGCAGGTAAAGGCCAGGAAGAGGAAGAGGAGGTAAAAGTGGTGGTTTTAGAGGGAGAAGAGGAAGTAGTGGCTTCTAAGGACGGGGACATTAGAAGTAACAATTGACAGACTTCTGCTTTAGCTGTGTGATTTGCTTCTTCCATGATTGGAAATCTGTGTCTTGAGCAACCTTGACGATGTCATTCTGACAGTGGAACTGTAATATCACTGACATGCAAAAATAAATGGAGAGCGGGGTGGTGGCCCACGCCTCTTATCCCAGCCTTCAGGAGGCAGAGGCAGGCGAATCTCTGTGAATAGTGAGTAGAGGCCAGCCTGGTCTACAGAGCTAGTTTCAGGACAGACAGTGAGACCTTGTTTCAAAAAACTAAAACCAAACAAAAAAACAAAACAAGAGGTGAACAACAGTAAATTTTGCTCTAAGAGAGCATGAATAAACATTTTCGTTTGGTTGGTGGGTTTTGTTTGTTTTTTGAGACAGAGTTTCTCAGTTCAGTTCTGGCTGTCTGGGAACTCACTTTGTAGACCAGGTTGGCCTCAGATTTACTGATTTCTGCCTGCCTCTGCCTCCTGAATGCTGGGATTAAAGATGTGGGCTACCACCTCCTTGTGGTGATATCTTGCTTGTACAAATAAAGCTTGTCTGAAGATCAAAGAATGGAACTTGCCATTAGCTAGCCATAGAGGACTTGGAGATATACAGACCCCCTGGCTAAACTTTCGGCATTTTATACAGAGCCTGACAGTCTGTAAGTGCTTAGAAAATGGACATATATTTTCACTGGCAATATATTTGAATTTTTAAAATAAAATCTTATTCCTTATTTTTTAAAGGAAATTAATACTTATGTTCTACCATGTCTGGCTTTACTGGCCATAATCACAGAACATGGTAATACTGAGAGATGTCCTAGGGGTCTTCCTAACCTCCATGGTGGCATAACCATCCAGTACTCCCTCGTCTGGCTCATAAACCTCAGTCAACACTACAGCTCCTTTCGTCACCTTTTGACCTAGGGACTAGAGTGACCCAAAGTGGCAGACAGTGTCTGAACTGGTCCAGTGGAACCATTGTAGTATTCCTGGTAGAAGAATTTCCTTCTCTGAAATCAAGACTTCTAGAACAGAAGAGTATACCATCCTGGGGACAGGAGGCAAATCTTTTGCTAGAGGTGATAGTGAGTAATACTATTCTTAATTCTACCTCTCAATCCCTGGACCCATGACTTGTTGAATTCCAATTCAGAACAGATTCAGCCTTCTGGACAAAACCCTCATTTCAGCCCAGAAACTTAAAGCCACCTAACTGGTCTATATATTAATCTTCAAAAGGCCATTTCACTGTTCAGTTAAGCCAGCTGCTCATGATCATGAGGATGAGACTGTGGGAAGACCCGTTAACCAAGCACTTGTTTGGCTATGAAGCGAGTCCTAGGTCAGAAGCAATGCTCCGTGGGTACCATTCCCATGGGTGAGGTATTCTGTGATCCATAAATTATAGCACTGACAGAAGCATTACATGCAGGGAAAGGAAATCCATAGTCAAATACGTGTCTGTTCTAATAAGGGTATCACCACACCCCTTCCTTGATGGCAGGGAATCAGTGCGATCAGCCTGCCAGCAGGTCTCAGGGCTGCACAGGCTGGTCATCAAGGGGATGGCGCTACGGTGGGGCTCAGTGTTGGTTTTGCTGCTGGGAGACTGGGCACTCCGCAGTAGCCACAGCCAGCTTAGGCTTGCTAGGTGAGAAGTCCATGTTGCTGTTGCTGAGGCCATGCATAACCTCCATCCCTGCCACTATGGCCATGTTGTTCATGAATCCGTTGGGCAATTATAGGGGTCGCTGAAGAAAGAGGGTGAGAAGAAAGGTGGAGGTTGATTACCGTCTACAGCACGGGTCATCTTGTCTACCTCACTACCTCACTCCTCTGCTGAGGTCACCTTTTGGTGAGGGTTTACATGGGACATAAAGATCTTAACACCCTTTGCCCATTTGGAGAGCTTTGTCCACACACTTCCTCGGTTGTCTTTTTAACCGTAGCCCTTCCAAGGGAGCCATCCATCCAGACAAAACATTGGCTACGGCACATGAATCAATATATAATTGCATACTTGCCTATTTTTATTTCTCTCATACAATATGTATAATTGGGTTCACTGATCAAAGTTCTGCCTTTGAGGAGGCACTGCTGTCCTTCAGGAATGTTCTGGGGGGAGGGCAGCATGTGTTGCTGTTATTCACTCTCAGGTGTAGCTAAGTCTTACCTTCCTCCAGGCCAAGGGTGCAGGCTGCAGAGAGGAGGCCCAAGAGTAGGAGCCTTTGTAATTTACTGTGATCTTGGGTCTGCTTAAGTCCAGTCCTGTAGATACCAGTTTGCTTTGATGGTATATTGCAGCAAATGGCAAACTATAGTTTAGTGGGTCACATGATGAACCAGCTGCAGTCACATGGTTAATTGAGGGCTTATGGCCAAAAGTTTAGTTTTTACCGAGACCCAATGGCTGACCAAGAGTTTCCTCACAAAAAGGAAATAGGAGTCAGGCTTAGTGGTGCACATCTTTAATCCCAGCCGGGGTAGGTGAGTCTCTGCAAGTCCCAGGCCAGCTAGGGCTCTTTGAGGTGAGTGGTGCACACGCCTTTAATCTCAGCACTTGAGCCCTTGGGAGGCACAGACAGACAGACACCTCTCTGAGTTTGAGGCCAGCCTGGTCTTCATAGTGAGTTCCAGGGAAGGCAGAGCTATATAGTGAAATCCTGTCTGGAAAAAAACAACCAACCAAACAAAAACTAAACTAAATAAATAAAGAAGGAGCAAGGTTTGTCCCTTTTTTGGACAGTTTTGGGGATGTAGTCCAGTGCCTTGTGCACATGCTAAGCAGTTGAACTGCATCCCCAGCCTAAAGACACTAGTTGTCTGTAGATGATGTTGAAGTTTCACTCCAAAATCTACAAGGCTCCAAACAGCATCTATGACTGACACCTCAGGTACCATGGGGTCTGATGGATTATGTGGCCCAAGGGACAGAGCAGGGAGCACAGAAGCCTTGACCCCTTGGAGAGCCTTCTCATATTTTAGGTCCCATTCAAAACTGGCAGCTGCCAGGTATAGTAGTACACGTCTTTAATCCCAGCATTCAGGAGGCAGAGGCAAGAAGATCTCTGTGAGTTCCAGGCCAGCCAGGGATACACAGCAGACAGAATCTCAAAAAACAAAAACAAAACAAAAAAACAAAAAACCCAGCAACAACCACAAAAAAACAAAACCAAGAGGACCAATAAAGAGGAAACACCTGAAGACCTTTTTGAAGGTCTTACACCTTACACCACTCACCATGTAACAAGTGAAGAATGTGTTACCACCAAAGTCGG